TGCAGCAGTTTTTTAACTAACTTCAGAAAAATTTTGCTAACATGTGATATTAATAATATTGTTTGATAATTTCCACATTCCATTTCATTGCCTTTCTTCGGAATGAGCACAAATATAGATCTCTTCCAGTCGACTGGTCAGCTTTCCAAATTTCTTGACACAAATGAGTATGTGCTACCAGTGTTGCTTTTGTTTGCTTAAGTATCTCAATTGGTATTCCATCAACTCTTGGAGCCTTGTTTTTCGCCACAGGCTTCAATAGCTTGAACTTCTTCAGTACCATGATACATCCTGAAATGGTTGAATGTTAATGAATTCTTTTTGATACAATGACTCTGTGTATTCCTTCCTTCTTCTTTTGATGTTTGCCGCATCATTCAATTTTTTGCGTATATAATCCTTCAATATTGCAAGTTGAGGCTTGAATTTTCTCTTTAGTTCTTCCAGCTTGAAAGACATGCCAGTCATGTTCTTCGCTTTTTCTTCCCAACTCCAGGTCTTTGCACATTTCTTCGTAATATTTAACCTTGTCCACTCAAGCCACACCCTTTGAAATCTTTTGTTCAGCTCTCTTAACTTCATCATTTCTTCTATTCCCTTTAGCTACTCTGTGCTTAAGAGCAAGTATCAGAGTTTCTTCTGACATACATCTTGGTCTTTTAATTCTTTCCTGTCTTTTTAATGACCTTTTACTTTCTTCATGGATGATGTCCTTGATGTTATCCCGCAACTCTTCTGGTCTTTGTCATTAGCACTCATTCCATCAAATTTATTCTAGAGATGGCCTCTAACTTCCATCACAGAGACTGAAAAATGCCAGATATCAGTTTACCAAGCCTCCTTTGCAGCCAGATCATGGACATGTGGCCCAATCCTGGCCAGTGGGTTCTGAGGGAAATGCTGCTGGAGATTTCTATAAAAGATTGTTCTTTCTGATAAAAGAGATAAGTAAAAGTATATAAGCCCTTCTCTCTATCTTTGAACAAAAGAACGATATGGCTATCATGATGGGGAAAGTCAAGAGAATGACAGAGAAGCCAGTCATGAACATTAACAATGATGGGACCCAAATATCCCTGGACTTTTTGTTATGTGTACAAAATAAATCCCTACTATTTACACCACTTTTCTTCAGGTATTCTATTACATGTGGACAAAAGGTTGATAACTGATACGATATTCAAGTCCTCACTATGGAGTGAGTTGCCCACAAAAGCAAACTACAGCCGTAAAAGATTCTTGTGCTATTCAGTTATTCAGCAAAAATTTATTGAGCAACTATTTTATGCCAGGTATTATTGTAAGTGCTGGGGGTACAGTAATAAACATAAGATTCAGAAGATCTTGCTGACATATTAGTTAGGGAGATAGACAATTAAAAAGCAAACAAGTAAAATAAATGGGGAATCATGTAAGTGCCATGGAGGAAAATAAAACAAGACGACTCAGAATTCAAGGGTAGAAAAAAGGGATTGTACAAATAAATGCAGGAATTATTGGTCAACAGAAACCATGCTAGGGAGAAAAATCGATCTAGAAAGTAGGAGACTCAGTCAGAGACAAGAATCCACAAAAAGTAGTCTATTGATTAATTAGCTTGGAAGCCTTGGGCAAAAGCAGACACTGAGTAATGAGATATCCAATGTATGAAAGAATGAGAAAACATGTAAAAATGAAGACTGATGAAAAGTAAGCTCTGATTATTGGTCATCTTCTAATATATGTGAAGGCTGTTAACTTTTGCATTGACAAACCAGGTTAGACAAAAAATTCCATGACTGGTACTCAGCATCAGTAATATCCATCCAAATCTGCTTCTTAATCTACTCTTAGTTTCCTCTGTATCTGCTTCATCCATTTTTTTATTCTGGTTTACTTCCCAGCTGTCTCCCTTGACTGAACTCCAAACAGAACTTGCTTGGCTAAGATGATTAGTGGCCAAGCCCCCATGAGCTCCAGAATGGAATATTTTGGGAATGGAGAAAAAGATGCTGGCTTTTGGGGCTAAACATTTTGTCAAATGAATGTTCTAGGTCATTATGCCCAGAGGTAATCTGCCAAAGCCAGTGGGACAATTTATCTTGCATAATCCTTCTTTATTAAGAAAAACGTATAGAAGAGTTAAATTGTTAAGAGTGTCTGACTCTGACTTTCTGACTCTGTCTGAAGTCAGGAAGATCTAGCTGCTTCTTATTAGCTGTGTGATGGCAGAAAAATTAACTTCTCTGATTTACTGTGAAACTAGGAATATATTACATACTTCATGGTGGTGTGAAAACATAAAATTAAATTGATCTATCATAGGCACCTCAACCTAAACACGTATAAAACTGAACACTTGTTTCCTACCACCCACACCTCAGGTGAAAATGATTTGACTAAGTAACAACAGGTGATAGTTTATCCAACTGATTTCATACTGCATAACCAAGATTGATATTTCTCAAACTAGAAATATTTCTCATTATTCTCCCACTCCACCTCAAAACATGTTAAAATGTTTTCAAATGAACACAAAACCAGACCTAAGTGAGCTTAAGCAAAGAGCGCAAAGTTCAGAGGTGAAGGTGGCCATGGCACTTGAAAATCATTGTGATCCTCTACTGCCATCTTTCATCTTTGCTTTTCTCTCGTTTTGGCTTCATTGCCCCTGCTACAGAAGAGTTTCTTCCACACAGAGTATGGGCCCATCACCAAAACACACACACAAAAATCTTTTCAATATAGCTTCAGTGTAAAAATAAAATCTGAAGGACTCTGGTTTATCTTGGGTCACTTGTCATTCCCTGGACAAAACACTGTATCCAGGTAGGCTAAATTATACATTTGGCCCAAGTTAGGTCATGTACCCACTCCTCTGGTGAGGAATTGTGGTAGGAAGTTAGGCAGATCTCACTCAGAACTCATAGCTGCAGTGGGAGAAAAGCAATTCTGCAAAGAACAGAGGTGCTCTTAGTAGAAGGGGAAAAGTTCTAGTTTTGAGTTGGTTTGTTTTTAGGGGAAGATAGCCACTAAGTCACAATGCAGTACAGAACAAATAGGTAATTACTTTAATACTATCGTGGGGTTGTAATGTAATATAATATAGTACAGATCTATGAATAAGCAATTACTAAATTTGAGTAACTAAATTAAGTCTTCACAGAATAAAGTGCAATATAAATATAATAAATCTTGAACACTTAATATGTACTAAGGTGGTATTCTAAGTGCTTTCTATCCATTAACACATTTAAAGCTACCACGAATAGTAGCTTTAAGACATCTAGTTTTATATTTATATAAAACTGACCCACTGTCTTGATTAATGTTAACAAAAATATGCAAGATCAATTATTTAGACGTAACCAAAAATACTACCTTTTCCAAATAATTTCTCACATTGTGCATCAAGATCATGGCAGTCTCCATCATAACACATAAATCGGTTGTTTTTGCATAAATGTCCATTGTGTATAGTTACATCAGGATCACAGGATGCTGAGCTTCCATTACAAAACTCAGGAATGTCACATTCAGGATGTACTCTGGGCCTACATTCAAAACCTGATTCAACAATCTAATAGAAATTAGAATATAAAAAATACAATGTTATATGTAAGATTGTTATGTGTATCAATATTTATTTCAAAATTGTGTTAATTCCATCTATACTTTGATGATCTACTCATTAATGTTTACTGAGTACTTCTCTTGTGTAAGGCATTATCCTACTCATCCTATAAAATAAATTTAATGTTATCAACCAAAACAAGAGATAAGACGTGTACAAAAACAAAAGTATAGCACAAACGTAATGTGATGAGAGTCAAACTTTTGTTTGCTTGTGTTTTCACTGGAATAGAGAAAAGATCACTTCAAGCTTGGGAAAATTATTCCTTCTGCGTGAAAATAGTGTAGTTCAATCATTTTCCAAATAAAATATACCTATTCAAACCATAGTTTTAAGTACTGAATAATTTAAAAAATATGAGAAATATGAATTATAAATAACTGAGAATGAAGCACAGAGGAAAACAAAAGGGTGATTTAAGAGGCAGTTCAACTACAGGAGTCTTTGGA